GGACAAGGTCTGCATCTGCATCCTGTGCTCTGTCCTAAGCTCCCACAGGGAGCACAAGATCATCAGCTTAGAGGAGGCTTTTGGCCAAGCGCAGGTAAGAGGCTGCCGGGACAGCGGCTCGGGCATGGATTGCATTAGGAAAACCACGGGGGGCTGCAGCACGGAGAGCTGCCCGCAGCACAGGGCTGGAACTCCTCACGAGTTTCAGAACTGCAGACCCAGCATGGGGTTAAATTCCCATCTTGGGCTTTTATTCTCAGTTTAGTCCCAGGTTCCCTCTGGGCTTGCCCCCTGGGATGTAAACTGAGATGTTGTAAATACTTTCTTCCCATCCTGAGGGGAGAGTTTGGGCAAACCGGTGGGGCCAAGTGCTCGTGGCTTTGGTGCACTTCCAAGCCAAAGATCGGCCTGAGCCGCAGTTATGCAAAGAAAATTAATGAGAGAGTAACAGAAAGGAAGCTGCCAGCAGCAGAAGTAGCTTTATGTGTGGCTATTATACATGAACAGTTTTCAGTTTCAAATTGTTGTTCTTGTGCTAGTAATTGAGGCATTTGTTCAGGGATAAAATTTTGCAGTAAACCTTTCTGTATTGATTTGTCCTGAGAGCATTTAGTGAGCAAACCTTTGGCAAGTCTAGCTTAGCTCATGTCTATAAAATTGCTGGTTTCATGCATGTGTGTGAGTCCTATCCTGATATCTCCCACTGGTTATATTTGTAGCGTGTTTTTCCCGAAACTCTAAAAGCAGTGAAAAACTATGAAGCTGCGCTGGGTCGAAGCATAGCAAACCTGCTGGGACAAGTGAAGGAAGTAAAGGTTTGTTCCAAGACCCATATCACTTTGGGGATGGTTGCATGCTGGTAACTGATGAGATAAGGTTTTCTTTTGCCCTTTCCCAGATCATGGATTCTGAAGCTTTTTTAGATCCTGGGCGGTTTCTAATGTATTTTTGAGTTTTCTTCTTTGAGGGAGGATGATGAATAACTTTCTTATCGGTTTGGGAGGTACATTCTTAGTTAAGCTTGAAAGTTGTTGTTAAATCCGTGCCTCCTGATGAGTGATTGGTGTGTGGCTTTTTTATTTTTCCAACCTTATTAAATTTTTAGTTACTTCTCTCATCCCAGAAAAGAACAGGCCCTTTTCTGAGTGAGAGCTTGTGTGGAAAATGTCCCTACACAGTCCCTTACAGCTTTAAAAGTGTTTTCTTAATAGGCTAAGGAAAGTCTGCAGAGGGAACAGCTGGAGAGCCTATTCAAAGAGATCAGTCTGCAGCTAGAGAAAAAAAAAAGTGAGATCCTGAAAGCTCTCAGTGACTATGAGAACCAACAAGTTTCTCGGATTCAGATGGAGATAAAGAACCACGAAAAGCAGATGGATTCAGCCAGCCATGATATTCAGGAGCTGGAGGCTCTGAGAAATCAGACAGATATACTTCTTTTCACCAGGGTACCTAACAGCATCCCCCTTCCCAGAGATACACAGCTCTTGGGCTGGCCTGTGCCGGTGCTATGCTAATTCTACTTTCAAAATGTCTTTACAGGCTTTTACAGCAATTCAAGCCAGGTAAGATCTTCCCAAGGTTTAGTATTTTTACTGATGATCTGGACGAGGGGATCGCGAGCACCCTCAGTAAGTTGGGGGGAGTGTTGATCTGCTGGAGGGCACGAAGGCTCTGCAGAGGGATCTGGACGGGCTGGATCGACAGGCCGAGGACAAGTGCATGAGGTTCAATAAGGCAAAACGCCAGGTCCTGCACGTGGGTCACAACAACCCCAGCTACAGGCAGGGGGAAGAGTGGCTGGAAAGCTGCCTGGTGGGAAAGGACCTGGGGGTGCTGGTCAACAGCAGCTAAACATGAGCCAGCAGTGTGCCCAGGTGGACAAGAAGCCAGACCTGTACCAAAAATAGTGTGGCCATCAGGCCCAGGGAAGTGATTGTCCTTCTGCACTGGGCACTGGTGAGGCCACACCTCAAGTGCTGTGTCCACTTCTGGGCCCCTCATGGCGAGAAAGACATTGAGGGACTGGAGCGTGTCCAGAGAAGGAAACAGATTTGGGGAAGGGTCTGGAGAGTCAGTGATGTAAGGAGTGGCTGAGGGAGCTGGGGGGGCTCAGCCTGGAGAAAAGGAGACTCAGGGAGGACCTTCTCACTCTCTCCAACTCCCTGACAGGAGTGTGGAGCCAGGTGGGGGTTGGGCTCTGTTCCCGGGGAACAAGGGACAAGATGAGAGGACATAGTGTCAGGCTGTGCCAAGGGAGATTGAGTTGGACGTTAGGAGGAATTTCTTCACAGAAACGGTGATTAAACATTGGAAGGGGCTGCCCAGAGAGGTGGTGGAGTCACCATCCCTGGAGATGTTCAAGGAACAACTGGACTTGATACTCAGTGCTCTGGTCTGGTTGACAAGGTGGGAATGGGTCACAGGTTGGACTCGATGATCTTGGAGGTCTTTTCCAGCCTTAATGATTTTATGATTCTATGGTTCTATGATTCTTTCTGCATGTATTAGGGAACGCAAGCCTGTTCCTATCACGGATGGTGTGAAAGTGCCAAACCCACCTATTGCTTTGGATGAATCAAAAACACGCAATATTCTATTCCTTTTCCAACAATTCCTTTCAAACATGGAGTCTTCATTTAAACCACTACCTGGTAAGTGATCATTTCACTATAGCAAAAGCAAGATGGAAAAGTCAACAAGGCATCTTTAAGAAAGGGTTGTAATACAAGACACCAAGTACACGAAGTACCCCTAGAAGGGTTGATTCCTAACTTTGTGTGCTTATTTGCATACAAATGTAAATGTGTGTACAGAAAGGGAAACCTGTCCTGGGTTTCAATGTTTTGGGGCATGCTTTGGATACACCCTGTTAAAACAGGCTCTGGGCAAAGAGGTGTGGAATTTCTAGGAGTTTTTTGTGCGGATTAAGAGAAGATAATGGCAACCCCTCCCCTGTCTGTGGCATGCCTTTGATTCAAGGGGAAAGTTGAGAACTCATCACAGCAGCAGCAGGTGGAGTTTGTTTACGACATAAATCCTCTGCTCTTTCTGTGCAAATAATTCTGCTTTTTGGTAATGCTTTGTATGCTCAGCTTACAATCCCAGAGCTGTACATGGTGGGGCATTTGTCCAACTGAAT